AGGCCCAGCACGGGCAGCTCGTCCGCTTCTACCCCCTGGACCGCCGCGGGCTGTCCCCGGGCTTCGACGTTCCCGGGCTCAACACGTACCGGGTGCTGCGGCTGCTGCGCAAGCCCGTCTTCCAGACCCAGTGACCGGGGCTCGGGCCGGAGCCTCCCCGCCTCGCCTTCCCGCGAACCCAGGTAGTTGACGAAGCGGGGTAGGGCCCCCCGCTACTCGGAGTGTGGACCCCGGACCACAGCCGGGCTGCAAACGATTCCTTATCCATGGGGGGAGGACGAGTTAAGTACAGAAACTTAGAATAAAGCATTTACATACTTTGAACAGCGCGCTGACAAAGTACTTTTGTGTCTGTTGAATGTAAGACAAAATAGGGGCTTGTGTTTTGTCTTTTAAAAAAATCAACCTGCGTTATAATTTACATAAAGGGAAATGCACACATTATCAGGGTATAGTTTGGTGATTTTTGGTGGTAAGTATGTATACCCACCACCCCTATCAGGGTATAGAACATTCCCATCGCCCCCCAAACGTCCTTCCTACTGCAGTCAGTCCTCTCCCCTGTACCCAGCTCCAGGCAACCACTGATCTTTCTGTCCCTATAGATTAGTTTTGCCTGTTATAGAATTTCATATGAATGGGATCATACAGTGTCGTCCTTTGTGTCTGTTTCCTTTTGCTCAGCATGATGTTTGGAGGTTCGTGCATGTCTTTGTGTACATCAGTAGTTTGTTCCTTTTATTTTTTAAAAATATATTTTATTGATTTTTTTACAGAGAGGAAGGGAGAGGGATAGAGAGTTAAAAACATCGATGAGAGAGAAACATCAATCAGCTGCCTCTTGCACACCCCCTACTTGGGGATGTGACCATAACCAAGGTACATGCCCTTGACCGGAGTCGAACCTGGGACCCTTCAGTCTGCAGGCTGACGCTCTATCCACCGAGCCAAACCGGTTAGGGCTATATATATATATTTTTAAACATATTTAAGGCTCTGTACTATCCTGAAGTAAAGAAACCTAATCAACTTGCCCAAGTCCAAAATTTGCCTAATGTATTTTGCCATGAACTGTCCTTGAATGGCCTCTTTTTTTTTTTTCTTTAGCAGAACTTGCACTGACATTTATTGGACAAACAGTTACTGAGATCCTATCGTAGGTCAGGCAGTGTCCTGATTATGGAGAACACAGCTGAGTGTATGGCAGACACGGGCCCTGCTCTTTCCCAGCAAAATCCGGAGAGTTCAAGTTTGTGCGCACCAAGTACTTGTCATGCTTCATGTCATTTAATCCTCACCTGTGCTCTAGGACTTAGATGTCATTGCCCCATTTCACAGACATGAAAATGAGGCTGGCAGCAATTATGTGACATCTCCACAGAAACTGAGCTAACAGAGCTAAATGACAGGGTTGGTATTCAAACCCTAGGACCCCAGACAGCCGAGCTCAAACTCTTAAACATGAATACGTGTTCTTAGAACACTTGGGATTTACTGCTCCAATTCAATGCCCCTCCCCAGCCAAGGCCAAATCCCCACCCCAGTCCTAACCCCAACCTCAACCCCAACCCCAACCCAACCCCAACCCCAACCTCAGCCTCTTAGCCCTGGCTTCATCCTTAGTTCTGGAAAACGCCTAGTCATGCTTCACAACCCTGCTGAGGACCGCTAGGAGCCCCCATTTTTTCCCCTGGGGAAGCTCAGCAAAAATACCAAACTAAAACAAACGAACAAAAAAACCTTGTGAGTCCAAGTGATAGTTTTTACAATTCACATTTATTTTGGAAAAAAAAAAAAAGGTTCTGCTAAAAATACTCCTACAAAGGCATTGGAGAAACAGGGTCAGGAGCCCATGGACACAGCTGGTGAGGTTTCCTTGGTCACAGTAGTGGGGGTCCAGGTCTGACCCACGGCCATCAGAACCCCCGACCACATCACTTCCCGACCCCCCAACATTATCAGGAACATCGTGTTTATGACCAGAAGAAACAGGGTTCTGTGAAACCCTGCCAGACCCGCCCCAGTTGAGAGTTCTGGCCCAATGGCCCAGGCTGGAACTAACACCTTGGACGGTAGGGGCGGGGGTGGGGGGGCAGGGCGCGGGGAGTCCAGGACAGCGGCTCAGACAGTGGCTCTAGGAGGTTAGGATGTCCAAGTGCCCCCAAACAGAGTGCCCCCTGGAGATGGGGGATTTGACTGGCAAGGGCCTGACAGTGGAGAGGGGCTGAGTGGGCATCCTGGTAGCAGCATAGCATAGTGATTGGGAGGGCAGATGCTGGGGTCTGAGACCACTGGCCGACTTTGTGACCTGGGAAAGCCCCCATGCCGGTCTCTGAATTCCCTGGTCTGTGGAGCAGGAATAACTGTACCTGCCTCGCAGAGCTGTGTGAGGATTAAGCGAGACGCTGTGTATAAATAGGTAAGCGTGGCCTCTGGCACATTGTTGGCACTCAAGAAATAGCAGCTGTGATTCGGATTTGGGGCTGAGCCTGACCAACCAGTAATTGCTCTTCTCTGTGCTCCAAAGAGGCTGCCTGTGAGTGAGGTTCCTGCCAGGCCTACCCTGGGCCAGCCTCAGGGGCTCCACCTCGTGTCCCCTGCCCACCGGAGGCCCTGTCCATGGAAGGGAAAGCAGGCAGACTGAGCTATGAGCAGTCCAGAGGCACCTCCACGGGCTGGCCTCCCAGATCCCATGGGCAATAGCGTCCCCTAGAAAGGGCCCTTGGAATGGGGCAGGGACTGCATGGCCATGAGGCTGTCACCTGAGTGGCTCTGGGGTTTGCAGCACGACCCTATGGTTTCCCAGCGCTGAAACACAACACAACACAAACACACACACTGGCTCTGCACAGGGAGGTGGTGTACCTGGGGAAGATGGTCCAGCAAATCCCTGGCCCTGCAGCCTCCTCTTTGGGGGAGGGGTGGGAGTTCCTCCCAGATGAGTCCCTCCCCAAACCTAGCTAGTGGGGCCCCCGCTTGGCTCCTGAGCTGAGCTGTCCAGCCCACCAGCCAGTGGGCACGGTTGCTCAGCGGGGGCAGCTGTGCTCCTCTCCCAGCGAGAGAAACCCAGCCTCACAGGAAGGGTCTTGGCCCTTGTCCAGGTGCAGCTCTGATTCAGACTCAAAGGAGGGAGCTGTCATTCGTGTTTGTTTTTACCTGCCCCCACGCTCCCTCACCATCTCTCTCTCTCTCTCTTCTCATTCTTGCTCTTTCTTTGTGCTTTGTCCCTGCCACGGTCCTCAGGTTTGGGGACCAGTGATGAACAAATGGGACTTGAAGGCTCAAGAATGAGCAGCATAGGATCATATGGTGATGGAATGTTAAAAATATGGAATCCTTCCACTGGAATCTTAGAATTGGGGGCTTTTGCAATCTTAGAATCTTGGGATCGTTGACCCATGGAATGTTAGAATTGCGCTCTCTGCAGGAACCCAGAGTGTATGTGGTCCTGGCGCTGACCTCCTGCCTCCCCTCTCCCTTTCCCCTCCTCCAACATGGCTGTTAGACCCGAGTAGAGACAAGGGCCTTCCCTCCCTCACCCTCCTCCAGGGAAAGCATTGTGTCTTAGTCTGGGAAGCAGGGGGTTGGTGGTGGTGGGAAGAGGGGGCATATGAAGCTCCAGGTCCAGCTGGAAGCCCCCTTCTGCCTTTGCCTGGCCCACCTGGCCAGGTGTTGAGTGAACAGCTCTGGATTGTAGCCTTGGGGTTCGTGGGGTGCCCACAGGGTGGCCCTGGGGGAGCTGCTGGGCCCCTCTGCAGTATTAAGTTCTTGCTTTATCTTGCTATATCAGCTTTCCCGAGGCAGCCTCCGTGCTGGGAAGCTAAACTCAGACAGACTCAGGGTCTGGGGGGGTCTGTCTAATTTCCCTGAAAGCTTAGCATAGTCTGAACACATTCCTGAGGGTCAGCCCTGCCCCCACTTCATGGGTCCTAATCCATGTCTGAGTTTGGGCAACTTATCTGACGCTGTCCTGCTTTGTCCTGATCCCTGTCTACACCAGCCCCTCTCTCCGCAGACATCAGGGCACAGGGCGTCGAGGGGAAAATGAAGAGAGGATTTTAGTCTGGAGGAGTCTCCCAGGAGAGCTTGTTAAAAACAGAGGCCCCTGGGCTGACCTGGGGGATTCTGACTCAGGGGGTCGGGGAGGAGCCTGTGGGTCTGCCAGCTGAACAAGAGCCCAGGTGATTCTGACACAGGTGGGCGATGGCAAACATTCGGAGAAATCCTGGGAGGTGGGAAAGGGGGAGCCCCGAAGGCAGAGGGCCTGGAGGGAACCCTCTGGCAGCACCTGTGGGCATCTGTTTCCTCACCAGGAGAAGGGGGATGGTAACATCCATAAGGTCCCGAATGTATGGTAAGTGTTCGGTGACTAATGCAATCCCTGTGGCCTCAACCTCCTGCGACCCGCCTCCAGTGGGGTGTCCCTGAGCTTTCCTGTGTCAGAACAAAGGCCAAGTCACTCTCTGGGACCAACACTCTGACCTTGGTGTCCTTGAAGGGACACTGGCCAGCTTCGAGGCGTTCTCCCAGATGTTCTGTGGCAGGACCTATTTCCTGGGAAGCTGGGTCAAGGCCGGCAGCTGGTGTGTGCATGCACAGAGTGGCTCCCTAGCTTCCCTCTGGGTTTCCCCAGCATAACACACTGTTGTAAAGGGCAGGACCCAGCCCCTTCCTGGGTGATCCCAGGGCCACCAGGGCATGGGCATCCTAAGCAGTGAGTATGCCACCATGCCACCTCCAGCGCACACCACGGTCTGCTCTGTCCCCTCAGGGTTCTGCCATGCCCGCTTCCTGCCTGCCCAGGCCGTCACTGCCACCCACATCTGAGATGGGCATCCTAAGTAGTGAGTATGCCACCATGCCACCTCCAGCGCACACCAGGGCTCTGCTCTGTCCCCTCAGGGCTCTTCCATGCCCGCCTTCCTGCCTGCCCAGGCCGTCACTGCCACCCACATCTACTCAGCTCTGGTCAGGGCCTGGTAGCTCTCACAGAGGCCTGGAGGGAATGGGGTGGGTATCATCAAACGAAGCTGAATTAAGAATCGGGTAGCACGAAATCCAACCCTGCGGCTCCCAGCAGCTGGAGTGATCTGTGGATTAAATGCGTCAGTGAGGATGGATAATGAAACAGCAGGGCCTGGATTCTCCTGGAATAAATGAGGGCTTCTCCAGGGGGCTCTTCTTCCCGGGGGAGGGGGAAGCTGTGGGGCACCCTGCCCCCACCTGATGGCTGAACTCACTCCTCCTGGAGCCCGATGCTCACTCTGCTATTCTTCTGCTCAAGAACCTGCTGTGGCTGGACTGTGTATCATGTGCAAACTGCCTCACCCTCCGAGTACATCATCCCCCACTTCCCACCACTCCCTCTGCTCCAGGCAGACACAACTCCTCATTGTTGGAGCATTCCAGCCTCTGAATTTTTGGTTACACTCTACCGCCCACCTGGAATGATCGTTCTCTCAACCTCTGTCATTTGCAAGACAGCCTCCTCCATGAAGCCCTCCCTGACAGCCCCAGCCCATTTGAGCTTTCCCTTCTCTTACCAGCCAGCATCAGACACCAAGTACTTGATGTCCTCTGATGGAGTGTGTGGCGTGGGCAGTGGAAGCAGATGAACACAGCCTTGCTCTGCCCATTCCTGGTTGGGTAATGCTGAGCAAGCCACTTCCCCTCTCTGAGCCTCAGTTTCCCCCCTACCTAGGGGAGAAAATGGTGCCTCCTCACCCGGCTCACCCAGTCCAGTCCTCTCATTTTTCATGTGGGAGACTGAGGCTCAGTGAGGGGAAGTGACTTACCAGATCCACATCTTAAGTTAGTGACAAGAGCAAGGCTGCCAGGATGCATTTTCCCTAGCAACCTGCGGCCTCCTGTCCTTTGAATGCATTTACACTGCTTTCCCTGGCAAGAGTCTTCCATCCTTTGGTCCCAGTCTTGGGACTACAGGGGCCCAGGAGAGAGCCAGGAGTGGCCAAGGGCTCAGCACTGGGGGGAGGCGGGGACCAGAGCCCTGGGTCCTTCCTGTGCTTCAGCCAGGTGTGAGGAAGAGCTAGGCAGGGGCAGGGCCCAGGAGCTCCCAGTCTTCTGGAGATGAGCCCGGATTGCAGAGGGGTGCAAGGCTAATGACTGCACACAAGGGGGTGGCAGAGAGCTCCCTGAGCGCAGGCAGCGTGGGGACCAACTAGAAAAGATGGGGAAAACCCAGCTGATGCCATATGGGCAGGAGGCACCACTGGCTAGTAAACAGCCACTGCCCGGAGTCCCTTAAGTGTCTGCTGCACTTCCATCATCTATTCTGATCGGTCTGCCCACGTCTTACTGGTTGATCGATATCATCCCCCAAGAAGAAGCCCGCTGATTATCAACAACTCATTTTGGGGGCTTCTGGAGCAGTAGGAGTGGAGGCGATGGCCCCGCTATTACCCAGTCTGGCCTGTGAAGATCTGCTTGTCACTCTCGGAGCAGCTGGGCCCATTTCCACGGTGCCCTGGCCCCTGTTCACAAGGCAGCTTTTCTTTCCTCAAGTACCAACTGCGTGCAGAGCAGCCGGAAACGCCTCTCACACTGCTGGGCAGGTGGGGCTGGCACTTGGGGCGATGGAGCCAGGAAAGGATTAGTAACCAGGCAGCGGGCAGGCGGCTCAGAGCCGTGTGCCCGGGCCAGCAGCTCGGCCGGCCACTTCCTGCTGAGAAGCAAGAGGTGGTGGGGGAGCTGCTCCGGCAGCAAGAGGCAGGCCCCCTGGATGGTCACAGTGACGCCTGTCTGTCATCCTGCAATGGAGACACAGAGGGTCAGGGGAGCACCCTTACTCTTGAGAAGCAGGCACGAGGGGGCCCAGGACCACTGAGGACACAGGGCCCTGGAGGGTGGATGGGCAGACATGCTGGCGAGCAGACACCAGCCTATCGGCTTAACGCAGGAAGCCGTCTGACAGGAAGCACTGAGTGCCAGCCCCCTGTGGTGGCCCCAGAGCAGTGGGGGGGGGGGGGGGGGGGTGTGGGAAGATAAAGAGTCAGAGAATGGTGGTCCTTACGGTAATGGTAACATTTCTTGCGAAAAGAATTTAATCTCTCTTCCTACTATTTGGAGAAAATGCTAAGTCTTTAGTGGGTGCAAGCAAAAACAGTTTTGTTTTTTTTAATCTCAATTAGTGGGTAAAATGAAATAAAAAAAACACACACACATTTCCATTGCAAGAGCAAAAACTGCTGCAGCTCACAACCACCTGTAGAGGGAAATCTTTGTGCATGATTTCTTAGGGCCCGTTGTGCAGAGAAAACCGCCTGAACAGGCGCCTGGCAAACTTTACAGCATGAAGAGAGGCTGAACTCCGCAGGGTGGAGGGTTAAATCCTGGGGGCGGCAGAGGAGGAGGGAAAAGGCTGGCAGCCAGCCAGGGTCTCTCACAGTCTGGGGAGCTGCAGGGCTGGCCTCCTTGCTTTAGGAGGCTGGTGTGAAGATGGCTCAGCTTGAAGTGAAGAAGCTAAATGGGGGCGGAAGCTTGCTCCAAGTCACTTCTTCCTTTGCCTGTGCTTTTGACAAGCCTGAGCCAGAAAGGCCACATGGACTTTGGCGTCCTCCATGTGTTCTCTCAGCCCTGGGCCTTCTATAACCCTGAGCGAGGAAGAGAATCATGAGCCACTAGACAAGTTCCAAGAGTGCCAGGATCTCTCTCTCTCTTGGAACTTACAGAGAACAGAGGTCTATAACCCTGAGCGAGTAAGAGAATCATGAGTCACTAGACAAGTTCCAAGAGTGCCAGGGTCTCTCTCTCTCTCTTGGAACTTACAGAGAACAGAGGTCTTTTTATAACTAAAGTGTTTATTTCCATTCAATTCACTAACCGGTTGGTCCGCTCAGGTGCCTGCCTTTGCTCACAGGAGGGAGGCTGGCCAGACCCCTTGGCTGATGGGTTTTCCCATGGCCAAGACCCTTCAGATCTGGGCAGAGGTCTGGAGGAGGGAAGCGGGTAGGAGAGCAACACGCTTTCTCCCAGGAGGAAAGGAGCATGCCTGCACACGTCTCTGAGGGTGATGCTCTGGAAGCTGGGATATCACAGTGAATGATCCGGGTCCGGGCCTGATGCAGCTTGGTTTGGGCTCCCAGAGGCGAAACTGGGAACTGGCCATGTGAGGGCAACTCAGGAACCTCCAAGGGGCCTATTTGCCTGGAAAGCACTGAATATATTGGGGCAGAAGGAGAGTGGACAAGTGGGCAGAGAATTCTGGCGCTGCAGCCTCGGAGCCTACTTCCTGCTCGATCTGTTGCCTTCAAGAACAGTCCTGGGGGAGGGGATGCTCCTTCACCTTGGCCCCCCAGCTCTGCCCAAATCTCACTCAGTCTATGAGGGGCCCAGATGGCCCTGTGGCAGTCGGCTTTGGTGAGGCCTGGCGGCAGGTGGGAGCTCTATTCAGGCGGAGGAGGGAAGGGTGTCAGTGAAAACCATATAAAAATCCAGATATGTGCATATAAAATCTCGCCCTTGGTGTATTGCCTAAGTCATTAAGCTGAAAGCACCTTCTTCCTGGAGAAGGATCAAAGTCCTCAAAAGGTAGGAAATGTCAAAGTGTCACTTCATTGTCATTAAAAAAAACAAAACAACAACCAACAAACAAACCCCTAAACCAAACTCACCCCTGACCAAAATATGCCCCCCAGTCCACGAATCGCTGTAAACAAACCCAGACGCAGGCACAACCGTCCTCAGTGGCAGTTGTAGCTGATGGTGGTCACTGCAGCACCAGTCCTCCATGTGGGGGCTGTCGGGAGTGGGCGCCCGGTGGGCCGGGCGGCCGGCTGTGCACGTGATGATGGACGTGGAGCTGCAGACCTGGGGGGTGGCAGCCTCAGGGCGGCTGACCTTCCCGGGTCCCTGTGTTCTCCCTGACCCAGGAAGACAAGAGTCCCTTTTCAGCCCCATAAGCCAAGTGGAGAAACACGTCTTTTTCATTGGAGTTTCTAAAATATTCTCCAAAGACAGAAGGATTCTTCTGTTTGCCCAGTGGCAGTAGGAATGGATATTCCCGGAGTGGCTCCCAGGTGGCTGCCTGTCTGTCCGCCTGGCACGTGGCTGTTGAGCGAGGCCTGGAAGAGCAGCCTGGGGGTGGGAGAGAAGAGTGACCCTGGTCTCTCCCTTTCACATTTGTTTTCCTGAAAGTGTTTCTTGGCTCCGGCCAGGTCGCCTTCCCAGAGGGAGTTGGAGAGAAACTGCTTTTGAGCTCCAATTGGACCGTCGCATGAATCTCCCAAGCCCTTTTTCTTTTCCCCCAAGAACAATGATCGCTTTCCTTATGAGAATCCTCTTTAAAAAATATTCCTTGTATTTCCCGCCCCCTCCCAGGATCTGTTTTCTTTTGTCCCCGTTCCCTTTTTTCCCATCATCTGAGTTGCACGTGCTCTTGGTGACGTCTCATGGCTGGCGGGCTGCTTGGTTCTTCCTGTTGCCGTGGCCTCCTGGCAGGTGGCTGACCCTTCGGTAGACAGAGAGCCAGGGAGGCCAGCATGTGGGGTGGAGGGGGCAGGGCCTGGAGGAAGAGGTGAGCCGAGGCAGGTGAACGTCAAACCTCCACAGACTGGATCTGGTTCATCTGTGCCCGCATCACCTGGATACTGTTCAGGATTTTTTTCTGGTGGCCGGCCAAGGTGACCCCAACCCGGAGAATGTCCCTTGGGGAGAAAAGCACGTGTGTTAGGGAAATGTGGGGGTGGAGGGGACTTTGGGTCAGGCAGAGAGCTGCCTGGGCTTCTCCAGGGTTTCCTGCTAAAGAGAGCAGGGGGCCCAGCCGGCGTGGCTCCGTGGTTGAGCGTCGACCTATGAGCCCGGAGGTCATGGTTCGATTCCCAGTCAGAGCACATGTCCGGGTTGCAGGCTTGAGCCCCAGTGGGGGATGTATAGGAGGTGGCCAGTCACTGATTCTCTCTCATCATTAATGTTTTTCTCTCTCTTTCCCTCTCCCTTCCTCTCTCTGAAGTCAATACAATTATTAAAAAAAAAAAGAAAAAGAAAAAAGAGAGAGAGAGCAAGGTAAGGGATGAGGGGTGTGGAGAAGGGGTGGGCATCTGGAGCTGAAGTGAGTGACTACATGAGGTGGCAGGAGCATGTGGCTGGGAGTCAGGGGATCTAGGTGTGCCATCGCCTCTGCTTCTGGGAAAGGAACCTGCATTTACTAGGCACCCCCTCTATGTCTCCATTGCTCCTCCTACAAACCCCCAGTTCACAGAAGGAAAAACTGGGGCTGAGGGAGCTTCTGTGATTTGCCCAAGGTCACACGGCCAGTGGGTGGCAGGCGGACCTGGGTGTCGATCAGAATGCGACTCCAGAGTTGGCCATCTCACCCTTTGGCCCCCACATTCCTGCTGGGACACTGCCTATCTTCCACTCTCCGGAGCCCCCCGCTTGGGAGGGTGGGTGGAGGCAGCTGGGCACTTACTCCATCATCATCTGTGACACGACATCGAAGGAGGTGAAGCCAGCATTGGCGAAGCTCTCCTTGTACTGCCCCATCTTGATGGCCTCTAGCCACTCGTCCACTGTGTTAAAGCTGGTGTAGTCGGGGATCGTGCGGTCCAGCAGTGGCAGGTTGATGCTAGGGGTGGGGTGGGCAACAGAGACGGTCAGGGCACATGCTAGCAGAGGGGACAGGGTACGGATGGGCTGCAGGTGTACCTGCATGTGTGTATCCGTCAGCATGAACACAGGTGAGTGTGCATGTATGTGCGTCTCTCCCTGTGGGTAGTTGTGAGTTTGAACCCACATACATGTGCACACATAGATGTGTGAATATGAGAAAGCAAGTGTGCAGGACTCGCAGCTGGGGCCACCTGGAAAGTCTGGGGAAGCCTCTGCAGGGACTGCTGAGAGGCTGGACCATGTGTGAGGCGGGACACACTTCTTACTTCAGCAGGAGGGAGTGCAGGGGGACTCACTGCTGATGACCCCTGCCTCCTCCCCCAGTGCCATTCTCCATCCTTGTCCACCCTGGTTGTGCTGTAAGAAGCTGAATTGTGGACCGACTCTCCAAAGTCCAGACAAAGCTGGTGCACTAATGGGAATGACTTCCTGGCTGGCTCATTAGGCTAAAAGCTCACAGTATTTGTATCCGGAAAGTCAGGAGCTGTTGACTCAAGGTCAAGGTGAGAAGCGACAGGTAGAGGCCAACACGAAGATCTGTTGGCCACACGAACTTGGTGTGTGAGTCTGTGACACAGCTAGCCCTGGACCCCAAGGACAGCTGACTGGACCCCTGCCCCTCAGAATCCCTGTGTGACTGAGAGTTCCAGAGAGGGCAGGGTCATGAGTGGGGCCTGTGACAGCGCCCGGGCAAGGCTGTGGTGGCTACAGGTGTGATGAGCACACTGTGGGGGCATGTGTGTGTGGTGAGTCTGTACTGCTGAATGTGTGTGCTCAGGTGCCTATGGATGTATGTAAGTGTGAATGTGAGAATGGTATATTCATGTATGAGATTGTGTGTGTGAGAGCATAAGCATTTGTGCCTATGTTCATACATATGTGTAGGACTATGTTCTTGTGCATGTGTGCACATGTTTGTGTGTGTATGTGTGTGTGTGGGGCTGTGTCAAGGAGAACGCAAACACAAGTTAGAGAGTACAGGTTTGAGTGTGAGGGTAGATAAGGAGGAAACTTAGTGATGAGTAAATCCATTTACTAATGAAGATTCTGCTAACTTTTCTTAAACACCGTCCTATCTGACCATTCTTTAAAAGTGCTTCCTCTCCCACCCAGCGTGCACTGTGTCCTGCACTCCTCTGCACCCCAAAGCAGTGCAGATACCCAACAAACTATCCTTCTCCATCCCAATTCAGGCAGAGTATCTGCTTGAGGCAGGGTAGCCAGGGTGGGAGGGTATTTGGAGAGGGTAAGGGCCAACTGGGGCGGAGCCATAGAGAAGGGGCAGGGCCATACCCAGAAGAGAGGGGCGCCATGGCTTTGAGGCTGTTGGGGTTGCGGATCATCTTGTCCAGCGTGTTGACGATCTGACCAAACTTGGGCCGGTGGTTGCGGTCCTTCTGCCAGCAGTCCAGCATGAGCTGGTGCAGGGCGCTTGGGCAGTCCATGGGCGGTGGCAGCCGGTAGTCCTGCTCTATGGCATTGATTACCTGGGGACAACAGAGGGGCTGAGTGGGTTGGGTGGGTGGGTAAGAGCATCTGCCCTCTGGCCTGGCCTACCTTTCCCCCAGTGCACTTCAGAACACACCTATTTGGTTGCCCTCCACCTCTTCCAGGCAACCTTCCAGGTCCAACCCAGGGATGGACCTCACCTGGGCTCCCACCAGGTATAGCCCCAACCTAACCTGGCAGCTGTTTGTTTGCCTCCCCCGCCCCAATCTTAGGAAATCCAGAACCCTGAGATAGCCTCTGCCTCAGGACCTGCCCTCTCTCCCGTCTCGGAGCCCCTCCTGGCTTTGATGGCCCGAGGACTCCTCCTTCCGGCTCGTGACCACACGCTTGACTTCAGTGCCATTTACAGCTCCAGGTGAGCGATACCTTCCTTGTCAGGCCTCCCAGCACAGACTTGTACCCCTTCCCATGGCTCCCACCTGGCTCCTCTGTCAGGGAATGGAACTCAGACACCTGCCTCCAATCTGTCCTGCCACTGGGGCAGACTCATCTTCCCCCGCTCGACGGGGTCACCCTCCCCGCGCAGGCAGCTCCTTCAAGTCCTCCCTGTCCGCATTGTTGCAAATAGGAATTCCTTGAGTTGGCTTTCAAACACCCCATTATTGAACCTCATCAGCCTTTCCAACCAGCTTTCCTCTCCGCTGCTCCCAACCCAACCCCTCACCACCCCACCTCTGTGCCTTGGCACAGGCTGTTCTTTCCACTGGAATCCCTCACGTCTGCCAGTCCCACTGCTGTGTGAGTCCCCCTGTCCCGGGAAGACTTCCTGGCTGATCTTGCCCACACTGCTCTCGTCTCAACATTTGCCTTCTCCAGTTTAGCACCTGATCCTAAGAGTTCCTGATAACTGCATCTGGTCCCCAGAGTAATTGTGTTGTCCCCAAATTAAACACTTGAGGGGCAGTATAGTCTCATTCAGGGCTGGCCACAAGGTGAATACATCGGTTCCCGATAACTGCATCTGGTTCCCAGAGTAATTGTGTTGTCCCCAAATTCAACACTTGAGGGGCAGACATAGTCTCATTCAGGGCTGGCCACAAGGTGAATACATCGTCCAGATTTGCTGATTTGCAGATGATGGACCTTCCTACTCCTGAGCCCCGGGAGAGTCCGGGATCCTGTGCAGACATGTGAATCAGCCACTACAGGCTGGGAGCTGCCCTTGCCCAGGGTCTCAGAGGCGGTGCTCCCACTCTCTGGGAGATCAGCAAAAGGCCAGGAATGTGGATCTTCCCCTTCCCCATCTGGCTGGACAGAGACGCTCTCTCCTGGAGACTTACGTCCTGGTTGGTCATGTCCCAGTAGGGCCGCTCCCCGTACGACATCACCTCCCACATGACGATGCCATAGCTCCACACGTCGCTGGCTGAGGTGAACTTCCGGTACTGGATGGCTTCTGGGGCTGTCCAGCGGATGGGGATCTTCCCACCCTGTGGAGCACAGTGAGGAGGGTGGATGGGTGGGAAGCTGACCGGTCTGGCCTCTGCTCTCAACATGCCCCGCCATATGCCCTGTGCCGTACCAGTCATAGGAAGCATCTTCCTGTTCCCAAACTCACCATACGGCTTCAGATCTCGGGGCATTTGCACATGCTATTCCTCTGCAGGTAGTAGCTTTCCCCACTCTCTCCTCTGGAAACCTCCTTCTCGTCCTTTAAGTCCCCCTGAAAGTCTTTCCTTAAGTCCCAATTGTTGCTCACTCTGTTGAATCCCACAACTGTGCCTGTATCTCTCCATCAAGGAGGCACTTCCCATACAGAGCAGTACTCCGATCATGTGCTACTTGCCTGGCTCCGACTGTACTGTCTCCGAGCTCTCCGAGGGCAGGGACTGTGTCTTGTTCCTTTCTGTTAAAACCCTTCACCAACCCAAACTGCATTCAGGAGAGAGTCATGAGCATGGGCATTCAGGATCTCCGAGATCTGGCCCTGCCTAACTTCCCAAACTCTTGCTCACCACTTGAACCTCGCAGCCTGCATTCTAGTATCATCTTACCATGAGAACATGGCATCTGACTCACTTTTACTGGCCCTTCAGCCTTCAGCTCCGATAGCACCTCTCTAGCCAGCCTTCCTCTGCCTCCCCAAGCTGGTGTCCTGGCTCACAGTCCCGTCACTCCATGTTGCTCTGTACATATGTGTCCCCCACCAGCCTGTGAGCTTCAGGAGGGCAGGAACCATGTTTATGTCTCTGCATCTCCAGGATCCGGTGGTGGAGAGAAGAGACTGTGCAGCAGACATGGTTGGTTTGAATCTGGCTCTACCCCTTGCTGTCTGTGCAACCTCGGACAAATGACCTAACCTCTCCGAGTCCCAGTTTCCTCATGTGTGTGCTAAGTGGGGATGAGTGACAGCCACCTTCCAGTGCTGTCTGAGTTAAACAGGAGGGTATATGGAAGGGGCCTGGCATGTACGAGGTGCTTGAAAAATATCTGCTAAATGGCAGCTAGGCCAATGGCATACTTCCGACTCCTCGTCAGGGCTATCTGTCTGTTTGGTTGACTGCGACCTCCTAGGGCAGGTGTGGGCAACCCCTGGCACGCGTGCCAAACATGGCACGCCAGTAACTTTTGCTGGCACGCGAAAACCTCTCTTATAATCTTCCATTTACAATTGTGAATCTTTGTTCTCAGTGATGAATTTTGTTAAGTCTCCTTCATGCCGGCCGCGATGCCCCGTAGCATTCCCACCAGCTGGATGACTGTGAACTGCCCATCGTTTTGCTGCAGGAGAAGTGGAGAAAACGCAAAGTCAATGGAAGGGTCTGAATCAGACTCTGGATCGTGTTCACAATGGGAAGGCAGGGCCCCACCCCCCGGCCTAGGCAACGTTTCAGGTGCTCGGGGACCGTAGGCCCAGCAGAGGCCACTTTCAGGGTGGTGGAGAGAAGAGACTGTGCAGCAGACACGGTTGGTTTGAATCTGGCTCTACCCCTTGCTGTCTATGCAACCTCGGACAAATGACCTAACCCAGGGGTCCTCAAACTTTTTAAACAGGGGGCCTGGTTTTGGCACGCACTCACAAAAAGGTTGCCCACCCCTGTCTTAGGGGGCCCGAAGTTTTCCTCTGTGCTCTGAACTCCTCCCCTGGCCTGTAGTGCTCTGGAGGAATCCAAAATTCAGTGAAAATTCTGGACTAGGGGTCTAAAGACCTGGTTCCAATCCTGGCTTTCACCTTGACCCTCTGGATGACCCTGGGCAAACTCTACCTCTTGAGCCTCAGTTTTCCCTTGTGCATAATGAGAAGGCTGTCTGTGAGCATGGATGGCAACCGATTTCAGGTTGTTTGCTAACTCTGATCAACTGCTTGTGGTTTCCTGGATTGAGTCTGAGATTTGCTTTTGAGGGTGGTTGGAGAGATTTCTGGGATTGATTAGTGATGTCGGCCGTGGGTAAGGGAATGGAAAGTGGCAAATGTACAGGACATTCCTGATCTAGATCTTTTCCAAAACCCTTTGAGGCTCTGAGGGTATGAAGCTATGTCCACCACTCCTTTTCCTGCCCCGCCCATGGTCCCCTACCCGGAGGAAGGAGTCCAGGGAGCCATTCTCCATGAACTCAGTGATGATCATCACGGGCGTGCTCTTGGTGACAACACCCTCCAGGTGAATGACGTTGGGGTGGTCGAACTGGCCCATGATGGAGGCCTCGCTCAGGAAGTCCCGGCGCTGCTTCTCAGTGTAGCCCGACTTGAGCGTCTTGATGGCTACAAAGATCTCTCTCTTGCCTGGCAGTTTCAGGTGGCCACTGCACACCTCACCAAACTCCCCTGGACAGACACACCAAGAGGGGCAAGATGTCACATGCCAGGGGGAAGTGTCACCTCCCTGCTCCCTGTAATCCCCCTCCTCCCCCTCCTGGGGCCTCCTCAATGTTCTACTCATCCTCTTGGACACAGAATCCCTTTGTAGAATATGGGGGCCCACCTCTGAGAGTAAGAGTAAACGCTTCATGGCTGTCCCCTGGTGTTTGGATGGCATGGTGTGAGGATGGAGGGGAACCTGGGGAGATGGAGGGTGGGACATGGGATGAGTGGTGGGAAGGACAAAGCACTGGGCTGAGTCCAGAGAACTGGGTTCCAGACTTAGCTCGATCTCTGAGGTGATGTACAAATTCCTTCCCGGCCCCGGGCCTCAGTGTCCTTATCTGTTGATGAGGTCGTTTTACTGGATGACCTTTGAGGGACTTTTCCATTGGGCATTCTGAGCCTTCAGGGCTTGGAAGGTTCTCTGAGGGATCTGCCCCGCATCCTACCCTCTGTCTCAGGAGTACACATTGGGGTGGTTACACATGGTTGAAGTCACAGTACCTGGGAGGGCACCAGCCACCTACCTGCTCCGATCACCTGCTCAATTTTGACACAGGAGATGTCGATTTCCTTGGCAAACTCCCGCACTGCCTCATTGGGGTCCTCGTAGGTGAACGGGTCGATGTAGATCTTCATGCCTGGGGTCACTGAGGGATAAGACTAGGCTTGGTCAAATGCACAGATTCAGGATGTGGACAAACGGAAAGGGGAGAGCCAGTCTAGCCATGGATGGACATATACTCCCATGTGGTCCCCCCTAAGAACTTGGCCACCCCCTGCAGGTCACTTGACCTCTCTGGGCCTCGGAGAGCAGATGGGCACTGAGCAGAGGGTGAGGGGAGCAGATTGCTCAGCAGGGATAGCAAATAGGTTCTAGCTCTTGTTCCAACTCTAATTGACTTCCTGGAGCTGCTGAAAGACTGTCAGGATTGATTAGCAATGTCTGTTATGTGTGTGGGCATAAAAGGAAGAAAGGATAGTTAGGGTTGTCACTCCTGTGATAGAGAATCAGGAGGAAGGCAGTCAAGAAGGAAAGGGGAGAATTGTAACAAAAATACAGAAAGAGCAGGCGTGGGCAAACTTTTTGACTCGAGGGCCACATGGGTTCTTAAACTGGACCGGAGGGCCGGAACAAAAGCATGGATGGAGTGTTTGTGTGAACTAATATAAATTAAGGAGGTCTCCCTATTTTTCAAAGGCCAATTCAAGCCTCCTCTCCCCTCAGGAGACCCTGGCTGCCTCAGCCCTCCCAGGCAGCGCCAGAGCCTGGAGGCTGCCTCACCATGGCTCCTGGGACCACCTTTGGGGTCCCCCACTGGCCAAGTCTAAAAACTTTCTGAATCTCAAATTCCCTGTTGATCAGCATGAGGCAGGATATGGACAAAATTCCTGATCTGATGTGAATTTTTATTTTTTTATGCAGAGGAAGGAAGGAGGTGACTTGGATGTCAAAGACCTAATTCTGACCCCAGCACTGAGTCCACAAAAGCTTTGAAAAAAAAGGAAAGATGATCCAGCCCACATTGCCCCTCCCAGATAACTGGTCTTCCGCTTCTCTGACCATCTGGCCCTCTCTCAGCCCAGGCTTCCCTCTAGCTTCCCCAGCTCCCTGCCCACATCCTCCCACTGCTCCCGGAGCTGTGACTTTCTGGTAGCAGCTGTAGGAGTTGGGAGCTGGAGTCCCTGGGTCATGAGTAAGACTTGGTTGGTTGATGAGCAGGTCATCAACCCTGCGCAGCTAGTGTGACCTTGGACATGTTAGCTGACCACTCCCAGCCTCTGTTTCAGACATTCCAGGAATCCAGGAGGTGAGACCTCTAAATAGGGATTGGAAAACTGGCCCACTATCTGTTTTGTAATAAGGTTTTATAAATAAAGTTTTATTGGAACACAGCCACACACATTCCTTTTGCCTGTGGTTGCTTTCACGCCACAGTGGCTGAGTTGAGTAGCTAAAATAGAGACTATATGGCTCGAAAGCCTAAAGTATTTACTATCTGGCCTTTTACAGAAAAGTTTGATAACCGCTGCTCTAACACATGAGCTTTACACTGAGTGGCCAGATTATTAGGACCGGCCAGATTATTATGCCCACCCCATCAATACTTCGTTGGGCCACCTTTTGCCTTCAATACTGTGGCGATTCTTCTTGGCATTGACTTCACAAGATGTGGAAAGGTGATGTGAGGAATCTGACACCATGCCTGATGAATAGCACTGTCCAGTTCTGTGAGATTTGATGGTTGTGGAACCAGCTGCCTGATGGCTCTTTTAACTTCGTCCCACAAATGCTCAATTGGATTGAGATCTGGTGATTGTGGGGGCCACCTAAGCAAGGTAAAGTCTCCCTCATGTTCTTGAAACCACTCCTGCACAATACGAGCACCGTGGCATGGCGCATTGTCTTGTTGGAAGAAGCCATCTCCATTGGGATACGCCATCAACATGATAGGATGAACTTGATCAGCAACGATACTTAGGTATGTTGTGCTATTCAGACGTTTATAATGATCTGGCTCTCTAGCAACTTCAGTGGGAAGTTATAGCTAATTTGCCTACAAATGTCAGGTGGTCATAATAATCTGGCCACTCAGTGTATTCTGGATTATTTGTCCAGCCCTTTAGGTCAGGGTTTCTTAATCTGAGTCTGTGAACCACTTGGCAGTTCCAGGGTGGCTTTTGGGGTGGGACAGGTGGCTCGATCCCCAGTGTGGGACATGCAGGAGGCAGCCAATCAATGATTCTCTCTCATCATGGATGTTTCTATCTTGCTCTCCCTCTCAATTCCTCTCTGAAATAAAAAAAATTAAAAAAAGAAGTCAATAAAATAAATAAAGATGCCAAGACTCAGAGAGGTTCGATGACTTCCCCAAGGCAACCTAGCTGGCTGGTGGCGGAGTAAGAATGAGAAATCAGGTCAGTCCCTCTGGCTCCACATCCAGGCACCATAGCCCTTGGTATTCATTCAGCACCTGCTGAATGACGGAACACATGAGCCCGTAAAGGGGCCTTCAGCCAGTCACACGCCTCTCAGCTTCCTCCAGGGTCCTGACCAAGCAGGGCTGCTGGTGGACAAAGGGTCCCAGGGCTGGCAGTGCTTCGAAACTAACAGTCCTGCTCGGACACAGGGAGTGAGCCTGAGCTTCCGATCGCGTTGATCTATGAATCAATCCCGGGGTCTAGTTTTAAAATAGCTCCCTGTGGTCACCTGTCTCCTTGTTACTCACTCATCCTCTAAATAGTGATGCTCCGAAATGGCTCCAGGTGACAGCGTGTGTGAGCTCAGCCGGGTGGAGACAGCACAGTGTGGCTAAGAGCCTGCACGCTGCAGCCAGACACCCTCGGTTCGCACCCCAGCCCCTGCCCGAGCAGCTGTTGACTCGAACTCACAGTGGGAAATTATAAGGATTAAATGGATGCGTACACGAACAGCACGAAAACAACTCTTAGCACATAGAACGCAGTCAGTATGTTTAGCTACCTCTACGATCATGATTTTATAACTTGGGGACTCGGAGGGCGTGATGTAATTTGTGACTTTTACTTTGATGTACAGGTGATTTTTATTTCTGTGTAGTTAAATTTGTCTGCCCTTTTCTTTGCTTTTACACTTTCGAAAGCCCTTTTCTATTCACAGTACAGTTAAATGGTTACCTAAATTGTCTTCTGGAAATTTGAATGGCTTAACCATTTTTACATTTATGTCCACAGTGATTGTTAAGCCCAGGAACTTTTACTTCAAACGGAGTTTTACCCAGAGGCTTAATCTAGAATTCCCAACTCTGCCCTTACTGACACCACATCCAGTCCTGCAACAAATTTAGTGGTTCTACCTTCCAAATATGTCAGAATCCAACCACTTCCCACCATCTCCATCACTGCCCCCTGGTCTGGCCATCATCATACCATCCCTGGATTATCCTAACAGCCCCCTCACGGGTCTCCCTCCTTCTGTCCTTGCCTGGCCACACCTCACCCTTCCGTGCATTTTCTACATGGCAGCCAGGGAAGTCCTGTCAGAACTGTAACTCAGAGCCCGTCAGTCCTTTGCTCAGATCCTTCTAGAAGCTCCCCATTTCACTCAGAATAAAAACCAAGAGCCTGCGATGATTGACAAGAATCTGCATGTTGAGGCTCCTCATACTCCCCCCCCCCCTCACCCCCTTACTCTGCTCCAGTCCCACTGGTGGCCCCTTGGCTGTTCCCGAAACCTTCCAGACATAGCGCAGGCTCAGGGCTTGGCACTGGCTGCTCCGTCGCCTGGGATGCTTTTCCCTGAGGTATCGCTGACAGCTCACTCCCCCAGCGCCTTAGTATCTTTGTTCAGATGAAACCCTCTCAGCAAGGCCAACCCCAACTCCCCTAGTTAAAAACAACCCTGAACCACCACTCTCAATCCATGACTCTGCGTCTCTCTTGCCTTTTTCCCACAGCATTTTCATCTTTTAATATATCATATGCTTTACTCATTTATGACATGTATATATATATATTTTATTCTCTGTCCCTGACGCTAGAATATAAGTTCACGGGGGCAGGGATATTTGGTTTGTTGACTTGTACGTCCCAGCACCTGTAACAGGGCCTGGCATACATAGGAGGCTACAGCAAATAAGTGACAAGTGAATGGACATGCTGATGGCTTCCCTTTGTCCAGTGGCCATCTGAGGAGCCCTAGGATACCCCACTGAGTACAGTTTGAGAACCTATGTTAGACCCACTGGGAATTCCTGTTCCCTGAGTGAGGTCTCCGACACACCTTCTCCTCACCCCCATGCTCCCCCACACACAGAGTCAGTTCTGCCAGGGCCCCAGGGAGAGGAAGCTATACTCTGCTTTTCTCTCCGCTGGACCCCTTGGGAGGGGACAGCGCTCTGGGTGTGTGTGGCACATGTGCTCCCAGCCCTGGCCTAAGGTGGGAGGGGACAGTGGGGGGAATGGAGGCACTGGGTGGGAGTGAACGGTCACCAGACGAGTCACCTGGAAGGAATGACACGAGGCCTCCCGCCTCCCTTCTCTCTCGTCTCCCAGGCCAGAGCCTAGGGTCCTCATCACCTCACTCAGCTCATGTGTTTATTCTATAAATACGTGAGTAGTGACTACTATGTGTGGGAAGCGTGCTGGGGCTGGGGAGGCAGTGGTGAGGGTCAGACATGGTTCCAGGTCTCCATGCGCGCCCGTGATAATGTTGGAGAGAGAGGGAGCGGCCATCACAGTGCAGCCAGGTAAGGGGTGTTGTGCAAACACAGACAACAACCCTAAACCCGGCTGGGGTGGGGTCAGGGAAGGCTTCTCAGAGGGGTCTGTATGAGGCCTGAGGGAGAGTAAGAGATGCTCAGGGAAAGAGGACAGGAGAGTGATCAGGCAGAGGGAACAGCATGTGCAGAGGCCGAGGTGACAGTGAGCACGGCACGTTCAGGGGACAGCTTGTCACTCAGTCTGACTGCAGCAGAAAGAAGGCTGGGGAAGTTGCCGGGGAACTGACAGTGCAGGGCCCAAGGGTGCCAGCCCCGCTGGGGCATACATACTGTGGCCACTGGTGTAGTGCTGCAGCTTGTCCGTGTACTCCGAGTCAGCACGCTCAAACCCCCGTCTTCTGGAACAAGAGCAAAGGGCTGGAGCCACCTGGAGGCGCCCGGGGAGCTGGGAGCCACAGCAGGTGATAGGGAGAGGGTGGGCAGGCCTTTGGAAGCACATCCCTGTCAGAGGCCTCCCTGCCTGCCCCTCGCCTAGCAGCCTCACCTGTCGGGGCCCCACTCATCCCTTGCCGCTCTCCCACTTCAAGTCCAGGCTTGCTGTTTCCCCCGCCCCCTCTCCGGCCAAGTCCCTTTCAAAGAGCAAAGTCATCGCCTCTGGTCACGGCTCCTGGCCCCTGCCCCCAGAAACCCTGGGGGCTTCTATCCATCTGACCTTATGACCCCGTGTCCTCTTAAGTGGGGAACTCTTGCCCAGCTGGCGTGACTCAGTGGTTGACCTTCAACCTATGAACCAGGAGGACACGGTTTGATTCCTGGTCAGGGCACGTGCCCAGCTTGTGGGCTTGATCCCCAGTGTGGGGCGTGCAGGAGGCAGCCAATCAATGATTCTCTCTCATCACTGATATTTCTGTCTCTTTCTCCCTTTCCCTTTCTCTCTGAAATCATTAAAAATATATTAAAAAAATAAAGTGGGGAACTCTTTAAGGAAGAAGAGCTTTTCTTCGCCTCTCCCCAGAAGTCAGGGAACCACGCCCCCTTCCTGCACATGCCATCCCAGCCAGTGGGGGCGCTCTTCCCCCACCTCCTCCTGCCTGTGTCCTCTCCCTCTTCCCAGCCACCTCAGCCAGGAGGCTTTCCCTGAGCTCCACAACCTCCCATCTGACACTGCTTACGGCCCTGATCATGAAGGGGCCTCAACTAGTGCAAAGGCAGGGCGATCTGTATTCCCTCCACCACCCCCTTAGCTCCCAGCACCCTGCGGTCCTCCTGCCCACTGCTCCGAGACGCTCCTCATGCTGAAGTATTGGTGTCTCAGTGTGCCACCCTGAACAGTGGGCTTGTCAAGGGCAATGGGATGGGCTGCTGACGGTGGCTGTTTAGGAGGAGGTGGGAGAGGCCACTTGGGGGTACCCAGGCCGACCCGAGCCTCTCTCGGTCCCTGGTACTGATGGAAATGCCTCCTCTGTTCACAAACACTGTTCAGGAATGGCGGAATGGATGCACGCCGGGCCTGGAGGGGCCGGGGGACACCCACCCACCTGTTACACACGATGGCGATGACAACCACGGCGATGAGGAAGACCAGGGCAGCCGCCGAGGAGCCGACGATGAGTGGCAGCTTCTCCTGGATGCTGGTCTGGTACTCGGCTGGGGAGAAAGCGCACGCAGTGTTCTCAGCCTGGCGCCGGGAGCCCCAACAGCCCAGCGCCCTGCGGGGTCTCCCGGGATCCCAGGCTCTGTTCCTGCTCCTCACAGAGTCCCTGTCACATGCTCAGGTGCAGAACTGGCTGTCACTGGCTCACAAGTTACCTCGGACAAGTCCATGAACTGCTCTGACTCTCAATTTCTCAACAATAACATGGGCATAATATCCACATCTCAATGTTGCTACGAAAATCAACAACAATAAGCTGCCACCTAAGGAGCGACAGTGGTAAGCACAGACTCGGAGGCCAGAGTCCCCGGGTTTGAGTCCCGGTGGTGCCACTTACTGTCTGTGTGAACTCTCATAGAGCGACTTACCTCTCTGTGGCTGTTTCCTCCTCTGCAAAGTGGGGAGAATCAAACTTCCCACTTCATAGGACTGCTGTGGGAAGCACGGACTAAACACTCAGTAAATATCAGCTGTTAATGTTCCTGAGTGTTTTAAGGGTTGGTCACTGTGCTAAGAATGCTATGTATCTTGTTTGATTCTCGGAACAGCCCAGTGATGCACTGGCTATGTTAATCCATTTTACAGATGAGGAAACCGAGGCTTAGCCAGGTCGTGACTTGTTGGAGGTCACACAGAAAGTGGCCAAAGCCAACACTTGAACCCAGATCTGTTTGACCCAAGGCTGTGGGCTTAACCGAGACAATGCGTAAAATGCACTCAGCATTGGCCTCGCTCTTGCAAACCACTCAGTACATTCTCAATGTCACCAACATCATCATCGTTTTAAATTCTATTATTATTCCCATTTGCTTTCATGACCAGACGGGCTTGTCAAAGTCAGGGACAAGGTCAGTCCTGGGTCTTAGCGCCAGCACACATTTGTGGAATAATAAAGAAAGGATCTGGGACAGTCCTCCAGCACCCATGTCAGTGACGCTCACCCAGCATTCACGAGGGCTGAGAAAGGTGAAAACGTTGGCTGTGAGGAAGGGGGATTGGGGAGAGGAACTAATGCTGGAAGAGATGGGGGCACTGTGAGGGAAAATGCTGGAGCCTTGTCACCAATAAAGCTGGCCCGGAGCTTGGCTGGTTGGTGTAAGGGCCCCCAGGCTCACAGAAACAACAACTATAACCTCACGTCCTATTTGGTGAGCGCTAGCTCTGTGAGACCTGGCACCAGCCCTGTGCTAGGGCCTGTACATTTGTCCCCATCCTTATACTATGATGCTAATGAGATAGTTGTTATCATCCCCCTTTACAGAAGAGAAAAACAGGCTCAGAGGGGTAAGGTACGTTGCTTCGGGCCATACATTGAGGACTGAATCTCCATTGTAATTTCCATCTGTCAGGCACCAGAGTCCACACTCTTTAACTCTGCTGCCCTTCAAAGATCATTAGAGCAGGAAGGGGACGTAGAGACCACGTGGTCCCAGACTGGGAGCCACAAAACACACGGGCTGCAACCTCCCATTCTCTTGCCCAGGGTAGATGTTACTAATCCATCCCAGCGCGTCTCCCTGCTGAACTAGTGCAGGGACGAAATAGTTCTGTGTTTTCAGGTTGAATATGATTGCTTTCATTTTATAGATGAGGAAAATCTGGACCACAGAATGGGTGTGATTTGCTCAGAGTGACTGCACGTCGGGGCTGAGCTCCCAGGAGTCGTGGGAAAGGAAGTGGCCCGGCTGACGTGATGGTAACGGATATCACAGCCTTTCCAGGCCACAGGACAGTGCCTTTACATAGGGCTGTGCAGTTTGTACAGTGCACAGAGGCTCCCAGCCAGGAGGGAAGGGGGGCTGATTGACATCAAGGAGCAGGGGGGTGCCGTTTCTAATGGGCAAAAAGGCGCTGTGCGGGAAGGTGGCTCTTGGGTTTGTTCTGTTTGTGGAGTCAGTGCCCGCCACCCCCCACCCCCCGCCCTCTGGCACCTCTTACCTTCTGTCATGGTCTGGAAGTACATCTTGCCACTGTAGCGCCCATAGCCCGCCACGGTGCGTGCCCGCACCTGGAAGACATAGATGGCGCCGGCTTTGAGGCCCTGCACAGTGACTGTGTTGGTGGGGCTCTTTATGGCCGTGGCGTTGTACTCACTGAGCTCCTGCCGAGGAACAGAGAAGACAGTTAGCGAGGTTGTTGCCCACAGTGGGCCCACAGCCCACTGACCACTCCTGCCACTTGTGGGGCGGGGTGGGGGGGGAAGGGTTCTGGCCACCAGATAAACATCTGTGGTTCTCAATTCTTCACTCCCTCCCAGTAACAGAGTCACACACCTGCAGCTTTTGCAAGTGATTTTGCAACCCAAGAGAAGGCAGAGTGTATTTCTCCTCCTCATGGATGCTGAGTTTGTCTACATGACCTGCTTTGGCCACTGGAATATTCTAGAGGACATGATGCAAGCACAGGCTTTACATATGCTTGTTGATTTGGCTTGGCCTCTTGTGATTCTGCAATCTGTCATGAGCAGGGCTTAGTCTGGGTAACAACTAGTTCCAGAAAGAGAGAAAGGGGGAAAAGATCTTGACCTAAATTCTAGAGTGAAACGGAGCCACCTCAGCTGACCGACAGATACAAACCTATGAATAAGAAAAATAGCTACTTGTTGTAGGTCACTGGATTTGGGGTTGTTTGTTCTGCAGCACCATCTCAACAACAGCTGACTAATACACATATACTGAGTGGTCACTGTGTGCAGACCCTGGGGTCTAGACTGTGAATTCTTGTGGACAGCAGGGAGAAGGCCCACATTGCTCACTCCTGCGTCCCTCTCTCTGCCTCATGCCTTGATGGATTAAGTGGAAGGACCCCTGTTCAGCCTTAGCACACTTGAGTCGGACAAGAATTAAGACCCAGAAAGCAAAAATTATGCTCAAGGTCACATGCATCAGTTGATGGCTGCTTTGGGACTCAAAACCATGCTGGAGCCACCTCTAATGTTCTTGTCTTTGGGTACCTTTGAGAGATGCAGAACGCCAATTCTCACCTCCTAAGTACTGCCCAGGGTGACCCGAGGAGCCTGGACAGGACAAAGAGCCAGCTGCTGCAATAGGGGTGGAGATGTGTTTGAATTGGATGCAAATGTTTACCTGCCTAGTTGATGCTCACTCAGGCACCTGTCAGCTGCCCAGATAACCTTCTCCAAATACCCTCTTTGCATTAGGCCCTGGGCTGGGCACTGGGCACCAGTGAAAGCACAGGTCCTGGTCTTGGAAAGCCCAGTTCAGAAAAGCAAACAGGGTGGAGAACTTAAC